ATAGGAACTACTATTTCGTCCTTGATACTTTAGACACATAATAATGCCACTTGTTGGATATTATCCTTTGGTCTGAATAATTGTGTTCACTGTGAGCTGCTATAGATGTGCTGAAGCTGTTTAAAAGTTGAATGTAAGAACTTCGTATGTCTTCCTCCAAACTTCAGTCATCTTGAGAACATTTTCTGAGATTTCAAGGATGGGAATCAAAGCTGCAAGAAAATCAGCAATTCATCTTATTTTCTTTCATCTTCCAAGTGGTGCTCAGGAGATCCCAGGATTTTTCTGGCAACTCTTTGTCTACTGACTGGCAGTTCAAAGTAAGAGCCTGTGGGTATGGTGCTCGTCAAGCTCTGTCGTACCAGGGGTTACTTGAGCCACCCATGTGGGATGTGGGGGGTCATACCCAGGAGCCATACCCAGAAGTGCTTGGGGAATCATGTACCTTAACCCCTATACTATCTCTCTAGAAACAGAAATTTAAAGGAATTACTGTGTAAATGAGAGTTTCCTGCCCCTGCGCCTGGCTGTCCTCACCGGGGCCCCTTGGAGGGGGGAGGGTTGAGTTTCTCTCCCCACTCCCTGCCCCGAGCAGAGCCGCAGCAGCTGAGGACCTCCGGAGCCAGCCACGGCCATGCAGGGACCACTCTCCACACGTCCGGACAGGCCTCATGCATGAAAGAACTGGCAGAGGAACCCAGGCATGCAGGTCCCGGGGCTGAGGTCTCCAAGCCTACTCGGATTGGGACTGGGCCTTCTCCACCCAGACCCCCCTCATCTTCCAGTAGGTAGGTGTCACACCCACCAGCTGCCGCCAGCGCCAGGTTGGTCTCATCAATGGCCAAGATGCAGAGACTATAAAAATCAGCTCCCGGAAGCACGCGGCCACATTTGCGCACATTTTTTCCTTTGGAGAACCTGGCAGGCACCAAAAATATCCTGCCCGCATGGCAGAGTCTGGCAAACTTCCATGTCATACTCAATATGCCAAATACCAGTAACAATGATGGGTCTCATTCTCCTAATCCTGAAAGAGCATTGAAATGGCTCTTTTAAAATCTCAGGGCTAGGAAAGAAGGAGACGTTACTGGTGCCTGCTCGAGGCAATCGACGAACAACAGGATGATCATGATCGTGATCGTGACTGTGTAAATATGAACAGTAGATTAAGCAGCTAGGAACCAAGGCCCTTGAGTATGCTGAACTGAGCATAATAAATTCAAAACTAGGTTCCTACAGCTTGGCTAGGAATATGGAAGTGTAGACTTTTCAGAAGAGCTAGTCTTACCTTAAGAGTGCTAATATCTTGTCACCTGGAGATCTATGACCATTTATTTTCTGTTTAAACACATGGATTTTGTTTAAAGCTACACAATGATTAGTCATCCCATATGCCACTTGTGACAATGCCAATAAATATGGAAACAAAACTGCTTAACGATTCCATTGCCTCAACAGAATGGTATCTATTGTTTGGTTCATTTTTTCAATGCTAATCTATATATTTATTGGCTTTTGTTGATTTAAATATAGCATAGATGTCACTAAAATTGTTAGATAAAATTCTTAAATTGCATATGTCTCCTACTTTAACAGTTGCCTAATATTCTAGTTAGGTTTTATAGTCTAATTTGCTAAGTTATTTTTAAGTTTTGTAAATTTTGGTTGCTTTGTTTTAAAATAACAGATGTTTTAAAATAATATTAACTGCATCTGTGTTAGGGAACCAATACATATTTTGGAGATTTCTTAATTAACTTCTATTTTAAAATATGAGCCATTCTGCCTGTGGGAATGCTGTCTGGTTTAGACTTTATGGGTAACAGGATGGGGACTTATCAAAAAGTAAGAATAGTATTTCCACATGACCCTCTTACCTGAGGCAAAAACATTATTTTGGAAAGATCTATGCACCCATACATTCATTACAGCACTTAGTACAATATCTAGAATATGGAAACAGCCCAAATGTCCAATGGCAGATATATGGGTAAAGGAGATGTGGTACATACATACATACATACTACCTAATAGAATATTACACAGCTGTGAAAAGAGATAAGCTTTGAAGTTCACTTAACTTGGATGGAACTAGAGAAAGCCACATTAAGCGAAATAAGATGGAAGACAAATACCCTATGATCTTACTTATTTGTGGTACATGGAGAAAAAAAATATGGAATAGGCCGTATTGAATGAGGCAAAACCTTTGGTTTTTTATTACAAAACTGAAATTGCCAAGCAGTAGGGGAAAGGGTTACGGGATAAAGAGAGCAGGAGAGGTGAGTGACCCAGGGGTGGTGGTGGAGGGGAGTGACTTTGTTACAACAAAGCCATCAAAGTTAACACTATTGAAACCATATTGCCTAAACCACAACAAAAATAAAATCCACTTTCTTAGATTTGTGTGTATGCAGGTGTAGGTTAACAGGACATCTGTGTAATGACTGTTGGGGTTTAAGGAGGGAGTTCCATTTGCAGAACCCGAGAAATGAAGAAGGTCAACAAGATGCAGATCCAGTGCTCTGGTACCAGAGTCAATGGCGAGTGGCCAGCAAACTTGATGTGCCTGAAACTGAAGAGTTTCCATCCTAAGACTCTCAGTGCTCAAACTAGGAAACCCTCCTATAAGATTGGAATGAGTGGGTCTCCTTAAACATTCACACAGGGGCCGTGAAGGGACTGAGGAAGCAATAAATCATTTCTATAATCTAGTCCTGTGTCATAAAAGCAGCAGCTCAGATAAAGTCTGCTTACCCAGAGCAATGAAATCCTGACTCATTACGCAGGAGTCCCAAGAGATATTTATTCAAAGTAATTGCTCTGCCCCTGAAACCCCATTCATTCATTCGTTCAATAAGAATCAATGAACCAACAGGCACAGTCTTGGGAGTAAGATCTCTAGTGTGTGTGTGTGTGTGTGTGTGTGTGTGTGTGTTTGGGGGGGGTTGTGCTTCTATTAGTGTGTGTATATGTAAACATTATTGGAAATGTTAAACAATGAAATAAATGGGGATGAATCTTCTCAATCAAGTGGCAGAAATAAGAGGAATCAGGAGGATGACGCAGAAGCTCGGGACTTTGGGCTGAACGTCACTAGCTTGTTAGTGGAGGGTTCTGAAGTGCTTCCCTCAGAGGCAAGGAACATTCTGAGCAGGAGGAGCTGCTGGCACAAAGGCCTTGAAAGTGGAAGTACGCTTTTCTGATGCTTTTCCTGGAAGAACTCAATAAAAGACCTTGCCAATCTAGCAAAGGAAACGAACCAACCACCCAGTCCAAATTCCATGTTCAAAGACAAGCACAGTGAGGTTGCTGGGACCTACGATGCACTGATCTTAGCTCTGAGCTCGCTTCACCAAGCTTCACCACCTCTAGCCAAGAGGACGGAGGTCTGAATTTTCTCTCCTAGTACAACTGGAGCGATAGCACAGTGGGTAAGGTGTTTGCCTTGCACACGGCCGACCTGAGTTCGATTCCTTCGCCCCTCTCAGAGAGCCCGCCAAGCTACCGAGAGTATCCTGCCAGCACCATATGCCAAACACGGTAACAAGTCTCACAATGTTACTGGGCCCGCTCGAGCAAATCGATGAGCAGCGGGAGGACAGTGACAGTACAACTGGAAATAAATCTGGGAGAGTTACTTTTTTTGAGGATGAGCAAATTTACATTGAAAATATTTATGAGTGGACACAGGAGTCAAAATACTATGCCTAGCACAGCAATAGCACAGCGGGTAGGGCGTTTGCCTTGCACGCGGCCAACCCGGGGTTTGCTTCCCAGCATCCCATATGGTCCTCCGAGCATCACCAGTAGTGATTCCTCAGTGCAAAGCCAGAAGAAACCCTGTGCATTGCCGGGTGTAACCCCAAAAAGCAAAAAACAATAACAACAACAACAACAATAAAAGTTGCGCTTAAAGGTAAAGAGAGAGTTGTTTTAGGGGATTATTAGCCTCCCGTGGCAAGTAGGTCAGTCTTTCTGTAAGATGTGCTCTCAGACCCCACAGCTAATGTACAGGACAACATCTGCAGCCACACAAGCTGAAAACGAAACCGGTCGATAAGGCAGGCAGCCCTAGTAACCTTTCACAGGTTCCTGATCTGGTGCCAGCGCAGACATGAAGGTGCTACCGGCTGCAGAGCTCCAGCATTTTGGCCACCAGTGGCCCTCAAGAGTTTAAAGGGCAGTGGCTGGAGCAATAGCACAGCTGGTTGGGCATTTGCCTTGCATGCAGCCGACCTGGGTTCGATTCCCAGCATCCCATATGGTTCCCTGAGCACCGCCAGGAGTAACTCCTGAGTGCATGAACCAGGAGTAACCCTTGTGCATCACCGTGTGTGACCCAAAAAGAAAAAAAGGGGAGGGTGGGCTGGAGCAATAGCACAGCGGGTAGGGCGTTTGCCTTGCACGCAGTCAACCTAGGTTCGATTCCCAGCATCCCATATGGTCCCCCGAGCACCGCCAGGAGTAATTCCCTAGTGCATGCATGAAGCAGGACTAACTCCTGTGCATCGCCGGGTGTGACCCAAAAAACAAACAAACAAACAAAAAATAATAATAAAAAGTTTAAAGGGCAGAGAAAGCAAGCCAAGTGCAACTCCAAGTTACGCCAACCTAATAAAGGTAGCAGAGTTGGAGGGGGAGTCGGGGGAGGAAAGTCAAAGCAGCTACAGGTGCAAGCTCTGGAATCCTAAACCTGCCAGCTCTTGGCTTCAACGAACCCCCGGCCCCTGGCCCGGTGGGCTCCACGTGCACGGGTTCAAAGAACCGCGATTGGGAGAAACCCAAAGAGTTAACACCGGCGCCAGGCAGGGGAGGAGAGAGAGACCACACCCCGCGGGCGCGCGGCGCCAACTCCCGGGAGGAAAAAAATCCTATTGGCATCTCGGAGGCAGGGAGCCAGCCCCTGGGCGCGGCCTGCAGGGGGCAGGCGATCTCCCCGGGGACGCGGGGGCAAGAAGGCCCGAGCCGGTGCCAGCCAACGCCGCCGCCGTCGCCGCAGTCGCCCGTGCCCCGCGCGCCCCAGCCCCGCAGCCCCGCCGCGATGTGCGCCGCCCGCATGCCGCCCCTGGCGCACGTCTTCCGAGGGACCTTCGTCCACTCCACCTGGACCTGCCCCATGGAGGTGCTGCGAGACCACCTCCTGGGCGTGAGCGACAGCGGCACGGTAAGCGGGGCTCGGGGTGGCCCGCGCCCCCCGACGGGTAGGGCAGCTTTGGAAGCGCCGCGCGCAGGTGCCCAGCGAGGGGGCTGCGCTGGGCTGCAGGGGATCGTCGCGGCGGCGGCCCGGGGCGTGGAACTCGAGTGCTCGGTGGTGCTGGGGGGACCCGGGAGGAGAAGCCGGGCGCCGGGTTCGTGGGCTGGCCCCGGAGGAAAGTGTTCCTAGGAGCCCGCCCTGGGAGGAGTGAGTGCGCACATCCCACCCGTCTCCGACTGGCTTGCACCTGTGTCCAAGGATGCTGGGGTCCCGGTCCCCTCCCCGGTGGCGCCCCTGGCCCCGGTCTGCAGAAATTGTTTCTGAAATAGGACCTTGCTTCATTCATTCATCTCCGTAGCCTGTCACCGTCTAGAGGCTCCGTTACCTTTATTTTTTTTATTTTATTTTAAAAAATTTTTTTAAACAGATTTTATTGGAATTAAAAATTGGCAATTGAAACTGTTGACTTAGAGATCTCATCAGTTCGTGTCCTAGGATTCTATGACATTTTATTCAGGTTGTAAAAGTCAGTGTTGATTAAATCATCATTTAAACGTTGATGTCCTACATTTAAATGATGTCCATTGAAATGTAGGAGAAAGAAATCACCCAAGAGGGGCCATCGGATCAGCGTTGTTTAGCTCTTTCGTGCATAGAATCAGAAAAAAAGCACTGGATTTCATTCATCCCATCATTCTATCGGGGCAAGAGGCTAAGGATTCAGACCAGCCAAGTTCTAATCCTAGCAAGATCAGTCCGAGAGAAATTATGCCCCTTACACACACACACACACACACACACACACACACACACACACACACACCCTTCACGATTTGCATCCAAGCAAGCCGTTCCATTTTAAGGTGCAAAATGTCTTCTATGCCTATAGCTTCTACCTTTCCTTTTCCCAAAGTCAGATTTTTTTGGTTACCAAAGTAACCAAACGACATGGATACCTGGCTCCCTTCTCTATTTCCTGCTCCATACACACCGCGGATAACTAGCCACGGCAGTCTCATCAGTTTAAGAAGTGAAAGCCTTTCCATTTTTAGAAGAAAAACATAAAGATGGAGATGGGATATTCTTTTTTAGCGTCTCCCCAGCTACCACTCTGGTTATCCAAAAAAGTACACAGATTTGTGACTTGTTGGCTTGACGATACTATTCCTGGCTAAAGAAGCTTCCTGGGCAGTGACAGTTGTGAATCGTGACTCTCACATTTGGGGATAACTAAACCTTATTTTCTTATGGTGCTTAAAAAAAAATAAAATCTCTCCTCTGTGCATATTCAGGGAGCCTGCTGTTGTGTTTCCTAGGTGATTCAACTCTCAGAGCTCCCTCCAATAGGGAGACTCCAGTAAACCCTGGAGCTGATGAATCATTGTTCTGTGTACCTTACCCTCAGTTTTCAGGGAGCCCATAAGCTTGGGACCAGTCTGCAGCACAGGAGCAGAGATTGCTGAACCTGAAGGGAAGAGAAGAGGTGTTTGCCTCATCACTAGTAGTGTTCCAACTCTTAGGATTCCTTTCCAAAAAATTAATTCCATATCTGGAATTGTAATGAGCAGCATAACAGGAAAGAGAATATGTTTGAAGGCTGGCTTTAACCAGGAATAAGAAAAGGAAGTCATTTGCCCCGAAACAAATTACCTTTCCTGGAGTTTTACAGAGGAAGACTAAGAGTATCCTGAATGTGCAATTAGTAGTTGAATCAGGGTGTCTATTCCTAATGAAGGAGTGCACTGAAGTTACAAATTTAGCAAACACCCTCTCTCCCACCCTCTGCCCCAAGATAAAATTAACAAGGAGTCGAATATAATCAAATGGCTGAATTTATAGTATAAAACCCTCTAATCTGTGAATTTATAACCGTTCATTGCCCTCCTCTTTGGCGCAAGGTAATTGATTCCTCACTATGGAAAGGGAGTCCATGTATATTACATACATATTATATGTGTCACACGTGTATTTATGAAATATCAACACTTGATTTTCCCATGTGGAAATGCTACCCATTTGAGGTTGTAGGACTAAATATTTTATTTATAAATTTATGTGGTTCTAAGCAAAATTATGTGGTGAATCTTCATGATCTGTACATTTATATAGAATTAAAGCTATTCTAGACTCTTGGAGTCCATCAGAAAAATCTAGGGTTTCTTGGTAAAAAGCTCGTTCTTTGATATCATCCTCCAGAACATCAGTTCATAGACTTGGAGTGGTCTCCAAGAAGCAGGGTTCCAACAAAGATCCCAGGAGACTGGAAAATAGATCACTGTGGATTACACAGACTTTTGGTGAGCACTCTTAAGAGGATTTTAATGGAGTCAATTGTGTAAGGTGTCAGGGAGCAGTTCTCTGTCTCAAGCCCGGGTCTTTTTCTCCTACCAACCCTTCTTTTCTAGAAAACATTCTTCATTGCATGTGATTTCATTTCAACCCAGAGAATCATAATGGTATAATTCCTCAATTCAAGAGAATTCAAAATTCAAAATGCTCATCAGTCACCATTTTAGTATTGGGCATTTTGAATTCAAAGATGGTGTTTCTACTTCAGTAGCCTGTCATTTTCTTTTTTAAAGCTAGTTTCCAGTAGGTAGAGCTCATCTGTAGACATTTAATTAACCCTGAAACTCTGTTTACTCAGAAATCACTGCATTGCCTGATTCTTCCCACACACTACAAGGTCAGGTTGACTATAAAGAGGTATAAAAAGGCACTGGGGCTGTCAGTGCACAGTTACCAGGAAGCAAGATTGAGCAGAAGAATCACATAAAAGCTGGGGTCTTGGTGTGGCAACACAAGTTCTTGATAAACAGAGATCTGGATTCAAACCTGGGCACCAAGCTGGGGTGATGACCAAGTAGCAGAGCAATTTTACTTGCAGACTTGAGGCCCTGGCTTTGATTTCTGGCACTGCAAAAAGAAATAAAACAGCAAATCTGTTTTCCACTTTTCCCCCTTCTGAGACCATGGACAAGACCCTCAGAGCTGCAATCTCTTTATTTGTAAAATCACAATGCCTTTTACCAAGTATTAAATGAGTTAATGTATGAAAATTCATGGCACTTTGTAGGATAACATTGGTTTGTCCTTTCTCGATTGCTACCTGTAGGTTTAGATTTATCGGGTTACACCCATCACAGTGCTCCTGAGTCACTCCCATTCCTCTGTGCTTATCTGTAACTTCTCTGTGCTCTCTTCCCCAACCAGTCTATCACCGTTTCCCCCCTAATCAGACTCCAGACTCTGTCAACTTGTATGGTCAGATCCTTCAAAGGACACTGAACTTGTATTGTAAGTTTTACGTTGCCTTTCTCTCCTTATGTCTTTTGCATAGTCGACTTTAAAACAATGTTCTTTTTGTGTAGACAAAGGAAGACAGTTAATATGATGCTTTTGTAACTTGGGAGTTAATTGACCCTGAATAATAATCACTCCCAGGCATATGTTTTCTTGACTTAAGTCTCAGTTGCCCTTAGTTCCTAGTACCCCAAAACAGGGTCTCAACGAGAGACTGAATGGACCTAGGGCAAGCTGTGAGCCACGCTGGCATTGAAATAGGCCAGGCCAAAGCGCCACAATACGTAACTGTAGGTTAAGAACTTGATCATGGACAAATGCTGTCATGATCCAAAAAGTAATGACAAGATTAGGACCATGCTAGGGTTAGAAAAGACTAATCTGACCTGAGCACTGTAATCTGAGATCTTTAGTGAGATGGCACCAGGAGAGCAATCCTATAAGCTTCATGTATCTCTTACTGAATCCATACAGAATGATTAATATTATGACTGTTTATATGTTTGTTGGACAAGGAGAGGAGAAACACACCCATGGGATTCCGCTCTTGGGTGGGTTGTCCTGCTGGATGACAATCTGTCCTAGAAGAAGCTTCCCCTGAGGGAAGTACTTCACCTCTTTTTTTTTCTTTTTTTCTTTTTTATTAGTGAAACACCATGAGGTACAGTCATAGACTTACAAATTTTTGTGCTTGGGTTTCAGTTATACAATGATCGAGTACCCATTCCTCCACCAGCACCATCCTCCACCACCACGGGTCCCAGAATCCCTCCCACCCCCACTCCCCCATCCCACCCTGCCTCTGTGGCAGGGCATTCCCTTTTGTTCTCTCTCTCTCTCTCCTTTTGGGTCCTGTGGTTTGCAAGAGGCATTGAGTGGCAATCATGTTTGGTCTATAGTCTACTTTCAGCATGCTCCATGACTTGGAGGCCAACCACACGTGCTAGGGGAAAAGGAAGCTCAGATAGAGAAGGGAGCACCAAATAAAGCATGCTGAAAGTACTTCACCTCTTGATTGTGACCACACCTATGTGTAAGCCCCAACCCCTCATGCTTTGGGATTTAACTAGGCGGTAGGTAAGAAGGGGCTGGGGGAGCCAGAAGGAGACTGAATTAGAAGGGAAGCAGAAGCAGGAAGGGGAATATGAAGGAGCAGGACCCAAGAGAAGGATGAGGAGGATCGGGAGAGGCAGAAGCAGAGGGAGATTCAGCGGAGAATGGAGATGGGAATGGAATAAACTACAATTGACACCAACCAGCCTGGCCCTCATTTCCTTCTTCATCCACCCATTGCCATCGGCCTCCCCAGGGTGGGTGAAGCAATGTGAGAGCACCGAACGCAGGTAGTAAGAGATAGAGCACCGCGGCCCTTTTGTAATTTATTTTTTGAAATTACCCAGCGCTTAGTAGGTACTTGGCAGATACCATGGGTATTCTGCCCCTTTACATCCTTCCGCTGCTGGCAAATTCTTAACCTGTTGCTTGCTGCAGCACTGTTGCATATTCCTAATTGGTGTCACCCTTTCTAACTAAGAAGTGAAGAAAGACATGGACCAGGTTGAATTGTGTGGGAAGGGTGTATGTGTGTGTTTATGGGATCTCCATACTTCAGCTCTGCTCATGTCATTGACCCAGTGGAACACAGGGATGTACCTGCAGACAAAGGA